CAGCCTGATGTCAGTGGAGCAGACAAGGGAGAGGACCTGCATGTTTGCGCAACATCGGAGCGAGTTGGTTGTCTGATCCTGCCATAACTAGTATATGTTAATTCTGAAATCAAGCCCAGTATCTATAGTTCTGATCAGTTAATGTGGAAAAAATAAAAGCCTGAATTTGTATTACTTTTACTATCTATGAATAAATAGACTTTCGTGTATATACACACAATATCCACATGTTAAATCACACACAAAGACACACAGAAAGGTTATTTCGATCTTTGATCTTTGGATACAAGGCACTTTGGTTCAGTCCCACCACACATTTAATTCCTGCTCCCCTACATACTCAAAAGCACTTAAAATCAGACACCGCATGTGTTGATCTGCCTTTTAATACTGCTCCCAAGAAATAAATATTTTCCTGGTTTGAGTCCAGGTGTTTCATTTATTTAGTCTGTATTGAAAGGGAATGTTTTGAGGTGTTTTTCAGCCATTGCAGGTACATCACCTGGATGAAATGCATTATAAGGCCCTAACCAAACAAATGCACGACAGTAGGAAAGAAATCCTCTTTGTATATTTTACATTTCTCACCTGTATATTGGTCAGTGCTATGATCGTTCTGCTCATAGACATTAAACTAGGGCGGAAAGAAAAATGCCAAACAGAGCATCTTGTCCACTTCAGCTCATTCCAGCAGTAATGTGCATAATACTGGAAATTGTCCTGCCTACTTCAGAGAAATGCTGATCTCTCATCTGAAATTATCAGCCCTGATCTACACTGAGGCTGATGAAAATCTCACCTTACTCTACACAAATCTTTTAAATGAAAGGAAAATCAGGCAATGGCAAAACATCTAACTGAAATCATAAAAATGTAAGAAAAAAAATCAAACACAGACTTTCAGCTCACCACCACGATGGTAAAAAGCTAAAAACTTCCTCTTCAGCTTGTAATGACTTGAATATTTAGTAAAATTACCATCCATTTATATCACATTGACCTTCAAGTGATATAAAATTCATCATATGTCGGTGTCTGCTTCAGGATATGTACTGTATTTGGGTGTTACTTGTATTTTGCAGAGGTCACACCCTTCTTGCCGTGGCCGGTGTTTAGCAGCATGTCTGTGTGTTTCAGCAGGGACTTCAGGGCTGGAGTAAATTATTCAGCTGTGGTGGGTTCCTCTCGGGTGGATGGAAGTAAAAGAAGAGCATCTTCTCCTTCCAGCCGCTGACCCACTCAGTACCATCAGCAGCTCCCAGCGTGCAGCTGGGACGCTTTAATTATTCATTCTTATAACTCAGTGAAAGGTATACGGAGGCCTTCAGCTCTCTGCTTCTGCCTCTTCATCACTCTCTCTTTCCCCTCTCTGCCACCATCACACACTGTCCCTCTGAGCCAATAAAAGAGAGAGATTTAATTCTTGAACTTTGTTTGTTGTTTGGAATTAAAAATTGAAAAGTAGTCAAATAAACAAGAAAAGAAATAGGACCTTTGTCTGTATTAGCTGCCAGTCAAGTACTATAAAGAGCCTGTTGCACTGTACAGGGAACTATTAGGCACATTTCCAGCTCCATGTTTGTATTGTTGGACTCCAGGGTAGCTTTGCATGATTCTCAGTGCAGTCCCCCCAATGTTTAAAAGTAGCTGTTTTAAGTCCTCTCCCTTTAACACCACTTAAAGGGTCTTATTACTGATTGGCTCCCCCTTGTGAGCAGATAAAAGGCTTGAATAGCAGGTGGGTGGGGCTTCATGGTTCCAAGCCAGAGCTGTGTGCCTCAGCAGACCACATTAGGGTCCCTATGACATCATGCAGAGATGTTTTATTGTTTTATTTAAACCCGTTTCCTGATCACTTTTCACAAGATGATAGCAAACTAAAAAACAAACCAGGCTAATTAACAACATTTTAGGAATAAGCCAGAGTGACATTTGAGAAGATTACTAGAGCCACAAAGACCCAAAGCTATTTGTACCTGGTTTGTTAAACATTCCTTAATGATAAGACTTTTTTTTCTCATTTATACATTTTGTTATATGGGGTGTGGTCCTGTGTTTTTAATGTATGGAAGCTTGTTTCTGTCACTGAAAAAAACCAAAATAAAAACAATTGAGGCAGGTAGAGCATAAAAGGAAGTCAGCTGCTTTCAGAGGGGTCGGTGTGTGTTGGTGAACTCCTGCTTTAATAATACAGGCTATAGGTTGGTGAATTCAGCCTCATGCTTTGTTTAAACCTGAAGCTACTGCTGGCCAAACTGACTTTAAATATCTGCTAACTCTAACTAACCTGATGAGCCAATTGCATCCATAAGTTATAATGGTGTAGAAACACATCTGTAAACTAGTGCTAAATACTAGTGGCCTCTGCTGGCACTCCTCTCACTCAGAGTGTCTACACCCCTGACTTGAGTTTTTTGCCCATAAGGATGGGTTACACACACACAAGGAAACTATCCAAAGGCCCAAACTGCTCTTAGTCTTCTTCTTCTCTCAGCTCCTCCCTTTCCGACTCACCAGAGTAAATCATCTGCCTCAATCTCACCCTATCCCTAGCATCCTCCTCTGCCACACCGACCCTCTCAACACCCTCCTTCACTACTTCCATGAATCTTCTTTGTGGGCTTCTTTTCCTCCTGCCTGGAAGGTCCACCTTCATCATTGTTTGTCCAATATTACCGCAATCCCTGCACATGTCTAAACCATCTCAGCCTTGCCTCTTTAACTTAGTCTCTAAACTAATCAACCTAAGCCGTCCTTCTGAAACACTCTTCTAATCCTGTCCAGATGCCGGAAACTCCCTTTCGCAGTCAGTCTGAAGTATTCATACAAGAAACTGGTATGCTGGTGTTGTTGTTGTTTTTTCCAAGTTCTTGAGGTCACCACTTGGGTCAGATATGGTGTGTAGCAGCTTGAGTCCCCAGTGTGACTCCAGTGCGCTTGACCTTTACTGTTCTATCTAAATAAGGGCAAAACGTCCAAAAAAATAATCTCTTTACAGTGAGTGACTGTGCCAGGGGTAGGTAAAACAGCAGATTTGGTCCTGCAGACCTTTAAATAAACTAGTGGGGGTAGTAGTAACGGTCTTTGACTTGCACAATAACCTGGGAAACAAGAGTAAGATGGCACAACGTGATGCAAGAGGATTTGACTTCTGGGTGGACACAATCTTCTTATTCGCATGCTCTCTTGTGCGCGTCCCACCCTGACCCGCTGTAACGCTGTGGTCTGCACCGTAATCCACACGCACACAGTTCAGGATGGCGTGTTTGCCAAGAACGCAAACTCGGGTCTAACGAAAGAGCGCACAATCCATCGTGTGCTACAGCTAACCTCTGTCATGGAGAGATACAAGAAAAGAGGCGGTCTTGGAAATACACATTCATATTTATTACCATTTAGTATTTACATAGGACTATAGCTCGTTAAGACTTTTTTTGACATAGACTTTTCATTTAAAACATTCATGTTTTCCACAATCCCTTTTTCCTGTCAAAAGAAAAGGTTTTTCATATCCAATAGTAACAACTGTACAAAGCCAGCCTGATAGGTACAATAATTTACTTAAAAACATCTTATTTTCATCAATGCAAATCATGTGACAACAAAACAGTCCCCTCCCCCAAACAGCTGAGCTGAGCACTCACAAATGACTATAGCTCTTTATGTACATGCACTAAAGTGCTAGTATTCAAAAGGCATGCAAATATTTGACCCATATTTATACAACTGCCTTCCAAATATGCATAAGGTTATTACGTTTGTTGTCACCCATCTTCTACATGTCTACAGAGTCAAACATTCATCTCAACGTAAAAATAAAGACGGACACGAGCATCAGAAATGACATCATGTGTCTCCGCTTCAGACCCGGTGAAGCAGAAGTTGTTTTTTTGTTTGTTTGCTTCCTTGTTTTTGTTGTCTTTCCTCTCCTTGAAGGTAAACAGAAAAGTAAAGTGAAGCTTTAAAGGCTGGCAAAACAAAAAGAAATAAAAAAAGGATTTAAAAAAAGGTCTGCATGAATGTTTATGGGACAGCGATGAAGAAAAAGTAAAATGTAAACACAGGAGGAGTATTTACCTGAAAAATAGGTTCAGACACACACACGTACGTGGGTGATGGTTAACTCAAGTATACAGGCACCTCTTATGGAAACTTATTTTTCTGTATGTGTCGTCTTTAAATACAGTACATTCCAGGTTCCTCTTAAAAAAAAAAAAAAAAAGGTTCTGGTTCCTTGATGGTCAGCTGGTGCTACTGGTTAGATCCCAACCCCTCTCTCAGGCTCCTCTAGAGGGAGTCCATATGTTTGGGGGAGGGTTTCTGAGGTACTGGGTCTGTTTAGGCAGAGGTGGAGGAGGAGGTAGAGGACGGCTTTACGGCGGCTCCTCACCCTCCAGGATGGTCTTCCGGTGTCCCGGCGGCGGGAAGGTGAACCTCCTCTTCGAGCCCTCGCTCCACTTTGGGGAGGAGGAGGGGGAGCGTGCGGCCCAGCGCGAGGGAGGTCGGCGGTTGGCCGGGCGCGCCGGTCTCAGGAAGCAGGAATCCAGAGGCGGAGCCACCGGAGAGCGAGGCAGGTCCTGCCAACGACAAGGAGCTGTCAGAGAGGAGCAACGGGGCGCCTGCAGCCATTTGCCACCGAGGAAAACAGGAAGTGAGGAGATTCATACAGAAAGATGAAGGGGAGCGAGCGAAAGAAAGCGAGCAAAAGTGCTGATGTAGAAGTGACGTGCACATGAAACAAAAATAAGGAGTAATGTAATGAAAGAATTTTAAATGAAAGCCATTTCATGAGGAACTTTTATGTTTTCACCTGATTGTTTCTTACTTTATTCTTGTTGCAGTTTTCTTTCAGTGGATATAAGAACGTCAACTCCTAACATACTGCTCCTAATGCCGTTTTTAGTCTGACCTGTTCTGCCTGCTTTATCTGAAAGATGCTGATTTAACTTAAAACTAATTTTGTTTGCTTGAAGCTGGAGCAAAAACCAGCAGGTCAGCCTTTAAATAACTTAAATAAGTGACAGACGTTTAACCTTCTCACCTAACAGGAATGTGCAAATCTGGTGAAAAAGGCAAACAAACCAAGAAAAAAAAAGGTTACATAGTTACCGCAGACATTTAGCTACGGAAGCAGACAAGAGTCAATTTGAGCAGCTGTTTCAACCTTCCCTCTGCCACTTAATAGCATTCAGTTACTCAGGGGACACAGCAGCTAATGACCCACACCTGCTACCACTATCACTGGCCGAGCGAGCAGTGCAAGCGCCTAACATCACTTCATTTGACACATTTTAAAGAAGCTTCTGGTCAGTGATTTGTTATATTTGGCTGGTACACTGGCAAAACACAAATATGAAATCATTGGTATGACAGATATAATTTAAGAATTCTCCGCAATCAAGCATCATAACGTTTGCGTCTCTTAAAAACCGACTGAGAAACTGACAGACACAGTACGGTAGAGACTCGTTAAGGGGAAAGTAAGGCCACCTTACCTTACTGCCCAGTCTTTTTCCAGTCTAATGAGGGCTTTACTTTCCAAACTGAACATTATATTATATTCAGTAAAACTTAAAACCAGCAAATCTAAACGTATCAGAGAAGCATTTACTGGGGTCTTAGAGTACAGGAAGTGGAGGTCTATTTTTCCATAGACTCCTATTCAATGTAACTACTTTTTGCAACTGGAGAAGCCACCCCCTGCTGGCCATTAGAGAGAATACAGGCTTAAGACTGACAGGCTTTATAATGCAGAAAACATATACAGAAACACTGAAAAAGCCAAATCCACGGTTCAAAGAAATGTCTCAGGTACACTAGAGTAAAAATCAGATGCCAACCTCCACGTGGAAAAAAACAAAAAAACAAAACCAACTGGTTGCCCAGAGGTTGACAATTCTTGTAGGTGACCACTTTCAGTTACGAGGTAACTGCACACAGGTTGCCTGGTAGGAGGCAAGCTGTCTTCAAATAATACATTTGTCCAAATAATCCTACTTGGACTGACTATAGTCGCTCACAGACTGTGAAGGTTAGCAAATAATTGCTGTCTAATTTATAAATGTAGACAGATTGCCAACATATTGCAATCACTCTAATTCTGTGACAGGTCTCATGAGGACTTGACTCAGCTGGTTGCCAACTGGTTGTGTTCTGGTCATATTCCTATAATAAAATCAGAGCAATAAATCACTGGATTGTCCAACAGATGGCAAAAAATTTATGATTTTCCACATTAAAAAAAAAAAACAAACTTCTAATCTTCTTTCATCTTGACATACAAAAACTACTTTGAAAATGGCAGCTGACTGCGAGTGGTTGGATAACTGGTCCCCATCTTCAAAGCAACCATTTCAAAGGGAACAAGATCACACAAGTTCATTCCACAGAGCTGGCAATGTTATGGAGGCGCTGCGTTCTCAGACCACTGTTTTCCTGAGTATGACTGTGGCATAATTAGACCACAATTAGAAGTTTATTAGATTTAATTCAGAATTTTAAACCCTCACACAACCAACTCTGAAGTCATCTCAGTGTTTAAAGAAGTCCTAAACTGCAGATGAATGATCACTTGAGTGCCACAAATCTGCTATCAGAGGTCACTGCAGGCATCAGGTGATAGAAGTCCATAAATACATGCAGTCCATTTGTGCAATTTTGCATTGATTGTAACGTCTAAATATTTAAACCTGTTAAGTGCTTAATTGGCAACAAAGCTTTATGCATCTGTCCCCTGGATGAAAACAGAAAGTGTAGAAAAAAAGGCCACAAAAAACGAAAACTATGAGTGAGTTTGTTTTCCCCCCTTCGAGTGAAGTCAGAGCGTGAATCGAGTGAACGATCACACCACTGGCCTGAAATATTAATAGCTCATCTCCAGGCGTTAGATTCCACTTGAAGGATGGAGGACAAGAAGACCAAAAAGCAACAATCTAGTTCGGCTAAAAATACATGACAGTCAGGCTGCGGTGGTGTGAGAGGATGAACTGGAGGAAAAATAACCGGGATGGATGGACACGTGGATGGAGGATGGACAGATGTGCTACACAATCTGCAGCAAGTCCTGCAGAAAAACAGGTCGCAGAGTTTGACAGGAGGCGTCTGCGCCAAACCATCAATAAATCATTAGTTTATGAATACAGCTGATGGGAATACAGACGATACAGCTTGTGCAAGATTTCCCATGTGACGCCAAAGCATCAGATCAAACAATCCCACAAGTCAGGCACCTGTATACAGGAAGTCAGTGTACACGAGCGGATATTAAAAACAGCAAAGTCAACACCTGTACATGGACCACAGCTAAGTTTTTGACCTTAAAAAAAAAAACCAACCTAAAAACCCCAAGGGAAAAAAAAAAAAAAAAAAAAAAATCAGTTTTAGATCAAATATATGTCCATAAATTAGCCTGAAGTTACAGTATGACCTAAAATATCATCAGATTTTCACACAAGTTGTACAAGTTGATAAAAAAAAAGAGCCCAGATAAACAAATTAAATAAAAATCTTAAAGTCTGTCATTTATCTACTGAACAAAACAGTCAAGTATTTAATATATGTGAGGGGGAAAATTATGTGAACCTTGAAGATAATCAGTAGTTAAAGCTGTTCAGTGGAATACTACCGTAATCAGGTACTCACATCCTGTGTTATCTAAGGAATCTGGTTTTTACAACTCATTTGTGGACGAGAATCGTGGTACGAGAAAAAGATTCCTGAGGACTTTAGAAAAGAAAAGTTTTTGCTGCTCAACACCTCTAAGGATTTTGAAGTTATTCAGACAGATTGTGTACAAATGGAGGAATGTCAGGAGCATCGTTTCCCTCCACAGAAAAGGCCGACCAACGGTATCACTCAAGGAGCAATACAGCAGTCTGGGAGCCCACAAAGGTTCGTATACATTTGTCACTGATGATATCAGCTGTTGGGACTTGTGTAAAAATATGATGATTATTTGTTATTCTTACTGAGAAATGTAGAAATGTCTTAACACCCCTCTAAATTTAACCAAATGCTGCATTTCCTCCCTTTGTGCCAGGCCTGCTGTAAAGGCTCTGTATTTATATCCATGAAGGCATCTTGTTCACCGACATCTCTCAGAGTGTTCTCCACTTTGTTGGATGTTGTGAAGGAGATTTTTCACCATGGAAAGAATTCTGTGATCATTAGTTTATTTGTCTTTTTAAGAATGTTGATTTGGAAACTTCTGAAGGTATTTTTCACTACAGTCTTGTCATGAGTGGTGACAGGACTGTAGTGAGTCTGATGTACCCTCAAGTGGAGATATAAGCGGCGGTTGTCACAACGAACGCAGTGACTATAAGCCAGGCTTACCGATGGCCACTGTTCTTTCAAAAGCATTTGAGAAATATCAGAAGTTACGACCTGCTAACACTTCGTTCCAACACGACATCTGAAATGACCAATATGACATGGTGAGAATAGACACACTTCCCTGCAGTTTCTAACAGTGGATTTTTTCCTTAAGCATGCACAGTGTACCAGAATATTTAGTTCATTTCTACCAGAAATGACACAAAACCAAGACAGTGCAGAGGAAATGGTGAGTGTTAGCAGCCCGTCTTCATTGGTTAATCTTTGTTAGTCTGAGAGGAAATGGTAAGAAGACGTAAGAAAGCGCTGTGTGGACAAATATGTGAGAAAAAAAATACAATATTACAAGAAAACATCACAGTCCGTCTAGCGGTGCACGTAAAAAGGAGGACCTGGTAGAAACACAGTGTTAGAATAATCCAGCAAGGCCTTATGAAGCCCGAACAGACAACAATTGACCTGTGAATGTGTGAAATGTCCAAGAGTCGTCTTTTATGTCATGTTCACTGGCAAACACTTTGGCAGAAATATTAAAATCCACCAGTGATCAAGACGTAAGCCGAAGACTCTTTGGGTTACATGAATTTAAGGACCATACCAGTGTTTTTGCATGACTTCTTTTCCCCCCAATCAGTGGCAAATAGCAGATATTTTATGTTACCACAAAACTATTTAGCTTTTATATTCAAGTGTGACGAGCTACTCGCTGAAGCTTGAATTTTCTTTAGATACATACTGCAGTAAACATCCAGCACAGAGAGCAGAAACTGTGTAATAAATCTAATCTCATTTTTATGTCTGCAAAGGTTTTATGAAATGTGTTTACTTCTTGTTTTACAGCAGGATTACTCAAAAGGTAATGAATAGATTTGCAAGCACTCATTTTTACACCTTTGTTGATCCAGGAAGTTTTTCTGGAAGGATTCTTTACTATTCTGAGGCAAAAATGGGCATTGTGCATCAAATCTTCACAAAAACACTGAGCTTCAGATGAGATTCTGTGTGGTTTGAGTGAAGGTGCTGACTGGACAGAGTGCGCAGAAGGATGCACACACATGAAAATTACTCCAGGACTATTAGCTTTTCAGACATGGGCTCAATTGGACATTACACGGATAGGATGTGTAATCCAACCTCCCAACTAATGTCCGATTCAAATGCATCAGAAATGCATTTTCTCACATGCACCTCAACCGAATAGTGTCTAGAAAGGTTTAGGGCTGTAGTGTATGTATGAAATTGTCTTTATAAACAAAGCGGGAGGGCTAATAGTTTCAAACTGAGGAAGTTATGTGTACCAAAAAGCACAAACTGCCCAAATGGCTACCAAAACATAAAAAGAAGACACTCAGATTATACACACACAGAAGGAGTGTGATTTCATTCTCTGCAAAAGATTATTCTTTAAGTGCTAAATATAGAGGTAAGAATCTGTAAGGTCACTTGTATGAAGAGTTAGCAACATAGTTGCTGCTCTGGCTGCTTTTGCTGCAGTGGAACTCACTGATTTGTGCTGCTTAATAAACCCCATCTCTCACTTTATGCAAGTCACTTAAACGTGTTTGTTTTATACAGTACAAAGAGAGATTTTTATTTAAATTTTGATAAGCCAAGAACATATAGTATGGTGTTAGTTACAATAGTGGATGGGAATCATGGGTAATGTTCTGCAGCATGCAAAAACACCGGCATGGCCCTTTACAAAAAATTGATGATCCACCAAAAAATATGAGCATGCACTCATTAACTGGGAGAAACAGATGCATGGCCGTCGCACGACTTTTGACACCACTCCAATGGCTTCACACACTGTCACTGTGCTATCCTGTGAAGCATGCATTAATGAAGAGGGGGGAGGTGGGGGGGCTGAGGTCTGCGGGGCGTGAGGTTCCTGTGGTTGGTGAACCCACCGCCAAAGGTCATAGAGGCAAAGTAGGAGGAGGAAGAGGAACTTACATCACGGAGACTAGCAGATTTAGAGTCCCCAAGGAGTTGTTAGTATGACAGTGTGGTTCTGGATCAGAGCACAGAGGACAGGGAGGAGGAGATAAAGCCCAGAGGGGAGGAAAGAGGGAGGGGAGGAGAAGGAGGAAAGATAGAGCGGGAAATGTTAATTGGTAAAAATCAAGCAAAGGGGAAGAGATCAAAGAAAAGTCAGGTATGTCGAAGGCAGAAGGCAGAAATAAGGCGGACCACCCAATAAACACACACACAGCTTCACTTAAAACCTGGAACTTCTGAAAGGGGAGGAGGGGGGCATAGAGACTGGTTGGCAACCACCTGGCAACCACTGGTTGCTAGGGAGTGGTTGCCTGCTGTTGTTAGGTGAAGTTGGTTGCAAAGTGGTATACATCAAAAACCTCCTTTCTATTTCTTTAGTTGATAAGAAAGTCCCCACTCACAAACTACTCACTAAGTGCTTATGAAGAGTGAACATGAAAGCAAGAGTGCAAAGTTAGAACTAGAAACTGAGACCATTTACTTTCAAAGTAAAGGTTGCACATTTTTCAGCAGCAAGGCACAAGTTTTACTTTGAAGGTGGAAGGTCTCCACAACTTTTCAGGGTTCATTGAAACTTGATTGTTACCTAGCAAGTTGGTGTCTTTAGTGCACATTGTGGGTGAGTCATGGCAATCTGACAAGCAAAGGAATCACAAGGTTTTTGGTGCGGCACCCTCTTTGTGACCAGTTTAACCTACCTACAGCCAGCAGTTAAACTTTGTGACCAGTTTAACCTACCTACAGCCAGCAGCAAATCTGGAAAGCACAAGAATGCACGGCAACATTTAGGCTGGGAGCACCTTGTTAGTTTGGCAATGTCATGGTTACGGTCCAACTTCACCACTCGCAGCCCAGAGAGTCAGTTTTATTGCTAACTGTGACTAGAATAGATATTAAAAGCTTACATCTTTAAAAAAAAAAAAACCCTCAGAAAATATATTTCTTCAAAATAAAGAAAGAGGAATAGAAAAGAAATATGTGAAATTGAGCATTAAAGAGCAGCCTGGATTCCTTCCAAACTGTCCTTAACAGTTAAAACTTTGGGTATAATTAATATGAGCATCTACCAGTGTAACGGTACATGGCTGAAAATAAGGAAAAGCATAAAAGGTCCCTTTCAAACTCATAAGCTCCTCAGGTAATTGATCGAAATGGCCACATTTGTGCAACAGTCACCAGCAGCTATGATACTGGTGTAAGTAACAGTGGTGAGAGTGAGTAAGCTTTAGCTACACCCAAATTTATCAGGTTCACCAAAGCCACACATTCATATCAGCTTATTTACTGCTACCTTTTATTAATTTCTGAATTACAAGACAAAGGCTGCATTAAGACACAAGGTTTGCTCCACACTGCCCGCCACTTCAAGAAATAAAAAGTATTTTCTGTGAGTTTGTTCCTACAAAGCAAACAGAGACACCAAAACGAAATCGACATTCATACCTCTTCTAAAAAATTGACATAAGCGTGGTTACGCACCATCGCAATCCATTACTCTCGTGCTATTATCATGCTGTAATCATTATCCACAGAGGCACAGTTTTGTTTCATGAATGATCGCACGCTCCAGTGCCATTCATAAAGTCACATATCAGACTCTAATCTTGCTCCTGCACATCAGTGAACAGCAGCAGGTGAACTCTTGATGTTATTAACCAGCATATGTGCGATTATGTTGCTCCCTGTACACAATTTCAAATATACAACTGGTCTGGGGAACACAGATTTTTTTTTGTACAGCTGTAATGCAGCATGACCTGCTTTTCATAGGTTTTAATCGGTTTATGGAGAGCCAAATATGAGGCGTGCCGGCAGATACTGTAATTATTTCATTCAGCACGTATATTAATTAATTAAAAGTCTGTCACATTTTTTGCACAGGTCAGAGAAATGGGTGGTGAAAACAGCCTGAACTGATTTCATCGAGTGAAGTTGACGCTTTCCCAGGTTTATTTTGGTACGCGGGGGCGGGGATCCAACTCCCTTAAAAACCGGAGCCACTTAAAATTCTGCTTGAACACTTGATTGGAAGGCGCTGCTAATGATTAATTAAGGAACTGTGTAATAGTGATCCCACTCAGATCGCAGTTGTTAGACCATTTATTTCACTTCTCCACTTATCAGAGACATAAATCAGACTTCAGTCGGGCCTCGGTGATGGTTTAAGCACAGAGGTAAAAGCCACACTACAAGGAAGCCACTGCAGCAGAGATGAAAGTACAGAAGAAGAAACCTTCAAGAGTTTCTACATGCAGCGATAAGAGAAAGTTCAGTGTGTTGCAGAGGAGGGTTAGATGTTTTATAACATTACCATTGCATCAGTCAGTGCTTTTGATCTGAGGAAAGAGCACGAACATTTTAGTGATTGTGCACATGTTAAAGGTGAATTCTTGATCATCATTTGTCTGATTAAACACAGACGTCTTCAGACATTACACGGGAACTCCAAGGCGGTACCATAAGTATCACCGTGTCATAAAACATGGGCCCCACATCACATGAATGATGAAGCGATGAATCCAGTGCATCTGTGCATTTACCTCCATGCATCCAGACTGTCCTCTGTCTGACTCGGTCTGCCTGCTGTTGTCTCTGCCGTGGCTGCTCGGTCCTCCCGTCTGCAGCCTCCTCTCCTCCCTAAAGTTCTGCTCCTGCAGCTTCTTGTTGAGGATGCGGGCTGCGTTTTCAGCCAGCGTGTAGCCCGGCGGGGCCGATAGGTCCTGCCGAATGCTCACCACCTCTGGGTTCTTGTCGCCCTGCGTCTCCACTATTAGCTGCACAGGGCTTGGTGAGCGCCCGCGAGCAGGCCGCAGACATTCCTGCGCGTTCCTGGGGTCTGCAGACAGAGGCCCGTGAGCGGGGCTCGGTTCAGTGGTGGAGGGTGGCGTGGGGCGGGAGCGACTTGGGGACTTATTAAATTTCTGAATGGTGTCATAGACCACAGGGGTGTGGTCGATTATGTTGAAGAGGCTGGACAGCCCGTCGTTGATGGTAGTGTGCACAGGGCTGTCGCGAGTGGTGGTGGAGCGGGCCCATGCCGACTCGTTGTTCCCTTTCTGGGGCGTTGTGGGCATGGGGGCGCGGCTGTTATTGGGTAGCTCGGTTTTACTGGACGTGGATGGTTTGCGCTGAAGTTTCGGTGAGCCGTACTTTGGGGAGCAGCAGGGTCGCTCGAACTTGCTCTGGACCACAGGAGAGTACTGAACTTTCCTTGTGTTGCGTGATGGGGACGAGATGGGTGTGTTGCCACCTTTCGGGGTGAGGCAGCGGTGGGGGCTGCTGGTCAGGTTCCTCAGCAGGTCTGTCTGCAGACCCACGCTGATGGTTTGGGTGGTCTGAGTCCCTCTTGTGGTGAATCCGTTGGTCTGGCAGGCGGTGTCCCGGACAACAGGCCCCGGTGGAGAGCGGATGGCGTTCCTCACAGAGATGGCCACCTCCTTCATGTCGTCACTCATGTTTCTGGAGAGCTGAAGATCCAGAGAGGATGCATAGCCCACTGTGGGGCAGATAGGAGACTGACTAGGAGAAGTCCTTAGTCCTCCACCCTCCAGAAGGCAAGGCCACCTTGCACCGCTGAACACTTCATCCGGCCCACTGGCGCCCACCCCAGCCTCCACTCCTCCCCTTGCTTTGGTCCCCTTTGCATACAGGAAATCGGGATCCTGGGCAGTGGTGTGCTCAGCTGCCCCGGGTCTGGTGGGGCTGTGGAGGATGTGCACCCCGTAGTGCTCTACTCCCACCCCTGCTGCCGCTGCTCCGTTGCCTCTCAGCGGGGACTTGTGGCAGTGCTCAGGGCTGCTCAGGGTGTTGGTGGTCAGGGTGGCGCTGGTGGTGAGGAACCAGGAAGTGGGTTGGAATGGACCAGGAACGGCCTCTCCTTCCCGGGCCTCTGTTGATTTGTCTGTCCACACTTCCCGCAACAGTCCCGGACCAGAGGTGGCTGACGGGAAGTCCCAGCCCTTATTGTTGAACTCCTCGATGTACTTGAGATCATCTGGAGACAGAGGCGGGGTGACGTCGTCTTGGCCCTGATCGCCATGACGCGTCTTGTCAGGGAGGAACGGTGAGCTGTCCATTAACCGCTGGAAGTCGCTCATGGAGCACACCGACTTGGCTCTGGACACACACACGCACACGCACACACACACACACACACACACATACACTCAACCCCAC